AAATACTGCGTACAAGAACCGCTTTGGAGACACTCCAAGAGATACAGCAGTGACCGAACTATACCAGATAAAAAGAGCGAGCCAAGAAACGTTAAAAACACACACTCACCGAGACAACTCACATGGGTACAAGCGTTGGGGGAGAATATTCTTATTCACTTAAATCGAGCTTATAATACGACGCTTTGGAACTTTTCTTCCTCTCGGAACGCGAGCCCGAGAATACGCTACGGCTACAGCGACTATTCCGGTGATGTATGGGAACAGGGGGGAAAAAAAGCACGGCCATTTGCATTGTTTCGTAATAATTCTCTCGTAACGCGTATATGAGTTCAAAGACAAAAGAAATATCGTTTTACGGTCTCGTGGTACGTGGGTTGCTCTATTTTGCGTATGAATTATTTTTTACGCCCCGAGCGCGTATGTGTGTGCGTAAATTTAACATTCGATAGCTTTTTTTTATTTTTTTTTTTTTTTATTTACACGAGCCCCCGAATTTTTCTACTTGTGGAAATCATAAAGTCACGTGAATGAGATTTTAGTTTCTACAACTCTGGGAAAATTTAACGAAGAACGATGACAAGGAGAAAGACAACTAAAATTAGGGTAATGATGATCGGCATGAGAGCCTTGTATTTTCGGAAGAGCAAAAAGTTTCTTTGTTTTTTTTTTCCGAAAAGACGAGGAGGAAAGACAATCGTAGTTCATACTGCTACGTGTGGCCCTAAAACAGTAAAATTTTAGATCACATGAACAATGCTTTCCCGTACGACTGTAATATTGATAATTCGAAAAAAAAATTTTTAAAGATGTAAACGTGAAAATTCAAGATCTTAAAAATATATTTCACGACTATGAAAGTCGACGAGCAGAGCTGTATTTTTCAGTTTACACTTTTAGAAAAAGTATTAACCTAAAAGCTTAGAGATTAAAAAAAGCCTTTCGTCATACACAACGTTGCACATGTCGCAGCTAAACTTTTTGCTGTGGCGATAAATACCTATGCCGTGCCTTTTGTGCTAAAGTGCAGTCTATTTCACGAATGTAGCCACTATTTTTATTGTTTCAATTCTGGGTCAAGTCGAAATTCGGAGCTTAAAACTTTTCCGACGTTCGTCAAAAAATACCCTCATTCCAGGATGAAGGTTTAGCACAGAAGTAAACCATATTGTCTCCAAACTATGATAAAAAATTCCATTTGTTTGCAAAATATTTTTCAGTAACTGATATCCAATGAGGAAAGAAAAACCATGTATTTACAGATGACGTTGCGTAAATAATCTTTTACCCCAAACAAAAATGCACGTCGTACACGTGAAAACGCGTTTTTTTCGTCCTCGTCCGATTGTTGTGCAAAACCGCGTTATTTTCACTGTTTCAATCCACCGAGAGGGAAAATAAAAAAAGAAAAAAAAATCATCAGAACGCGTTTCACGAGCCGTAAATGTATCGCGCGTTGAAAGCAATTTAAAAAAAATAACTCTCAACGAGAGCGTATTGTCGTATTATCCGCCACTCCAGAGTTTCGCCCGCGCGAATTTACAGCATCGAGGGGCGGGCGGGGGCAAAAAGAACACGCATTAAGGGGGGGAAGGCGCGCTTTTCAATGAGTGCATTTCACGCGCGCCCGATATAGAAAAACCAGCGACGCTACACTCAACCGGTGGCGCAACTAAAAGCCCATTCTCGTCGAGTTTTTCTTTCTTTTTTTTCATTAAAAAACACGAACGTCCCAGTTCCATTTGAAAAAATGCGTCTCCCCCTGCGCGACTAAAATTATTTATCATTCCCGTATTAGCGAAGCGAGCATGTAATTCAGGCTGAGCTTTCCATGGAGGGAAAAAAATCACGCTCGCTCGTACAGTGTATACATATTACCGTCTCTTCGCCTCAAAAGGGAGCCCAAAACCTCGGCGCGCCGAGAGAAATCTGGTACGCGCGCTTGCTCCACTTTCACCCCTGAATAAACAAAAACCGATTCGTCGTCGTTTGTTTTTGGCCGGAGATCGTCACATATTTTTTTTTACTTCGCAACACTTCCACGCATCCCCTACCCCCGCAGCTGTCCTTATTTTTCACGCTCGTGTCATCACAAGAGGTGTCGCGCGACCCTTTGAAGAAAATCCCTCGGTCGTTATAGCTCGAGAAAAAAAAAATCCACAAGAGGGTGGATGTAGACGGATTACAGTGACACAGAGGAGCCGCGTGTTAACGAGGAACACGAGACGCCGTAGAATCCTTCGCTCCTTGGGCGTCAAATATTGTTCTCGTGAAGCGTCGATCTGTTCAACGCAAAGTACGTAAAGGGAGGGTGAGTAATAATGGCAATCCAAAAGGCCATTTACAGTCGCTACTGCCGAGGGATTGTTTATTTCCACGCGGTAAGAGAAAACCTCGGCGAACTCGTGGCCCCTTTGAGAAGCGACGAGGAGGAAGATTCGGGGTGGCGCCCGAAATTTGCTCTAATTGTCCCCGAAGGGCGGGACCGTCGGCATACGTGCACGAGAAAAGAGACGATACAATTCACGAGGTGGAGAAAAAGCCCGGGAGTACTTGGCAGGTGGTTACGACGGGCATCACAAAAGCAGAGAGGAGGGAAGGGTGTACATACGGTCGCCAAAGGAGCCATTTGTCCGGGAGCCACACGCGTAGGGGTTCCTTTTCGATATGAGACAGTCGGCGACGGTGCATAAATTATGAACGCGCTTCGGACGCCCGGGGCTTTTGTACGCGATTCCGAGTGATATAATCGCCGGACGACAAGTAGTCCTTTCGTCCTCGGCTCGTTCTTTTGAGGGAAAACACAGACAGCCGCGGGTGAGCTTTTTTTTCCTTCCCCCCCATATAACCGGTCGGGCGAAAAATTATGGCTCCCCGGCAGCTGTCATTAATCCACGTCTCCTCGCGTTACCCCGCGCGCGGATGGATCACCCCCGGACACGGTGCTCTGCCCTGTTTTTTGCGGCTCGCCCGGAGATACGGGAATTTGTCGGGGGCTTCGCGGAAAAAGTTGGCGCGCCGAGACTACTTTTTTTTTCTTTTACACCCCAGCTCGGCTCGCTCGTGTTTTTCTTTTGATAAAGTTTGCCACTACCTACACAAGTATTTACGCTCGGGTTGTATCCAACTGTCCTCCTCCCCGACAACTGCGAGCCACTTGAGCGAGATTTTCCGCTTTTGTGGGGGCCAAATTACGTGCGCCCGCGGACAATCGATAGACCAAGGGGTGGGTACATTCAATCGGTATTATCGAACATCGGGGAGAGGAGCTCGTACACAAACACAAAAGACATGCCGCAGGAGTGCATTGAATTTCTCGGGGGGGGGGGGGGGGTCGCATTGTACGAGCTGCTGTCGTGGTGTCCTCGTTGACGCATCCTCGGGGTTGAGGGGCAAAAAGGGTAGACTAATGAGGTCGATTATCCATCTCTGCTCTTCGTTAATGATGTTCGAGCTTTCGTTGTTAGTACTCTTGCAGTGAATTTTACATTTTGGACGGCGATGACCCATTTTTCTTTGAATCTCTGTGTACACCGGCCTTAGATTTATTTCGGGGATAAAAACCTTGGAAGTGCAGGAACAGCCGATTGATCGATTTCTCTAATGATTCGTGATTTATCATAGTCGCCCTCTGCCTTTTTTAATTCCCGTACTGTGTAGGTAGCGGGAAAAAGTCGTCGAAAATATAGCTGATGAACGATGTACGCCAGCGATGAAAGGAAACAGTATGGGACACCCACTCCACGGGGTGTCTATACACGCATCGATTTATGGGACGTGGCGGATAATTTAAAATACGCGGCTATAATTCAACGTAATGGGTTTTCCCCGCTAAAATCCTCTCCTACGCTCTATATGCGCTTGTGTATATAAATAATTTAGAATTGGCGGGTGATATTTATGAGTGGCGAGCGTGTGATAAAAAGCGAGAGTATATATTACAGAGTTTTTGGGGGCAAAAAAAAAAAATCCTTTACACAATGGAAATCGCGATAAGGAGCTGATTCATTGTTGTAAGAGTGACGGATGCGCCGTTGCACTTTTTGATGATCCATTCATCGGGGGATTTTTATCGAGCTTATGCCTCCGGAAGTATAACTACGTACCCACGTCCCGAGAGACTCTACGGGGGGAAAGGGGTGCGATGAATGGGGAATCGAAAAAATTGTTGAAAAATGTGACGTTGCGAAGGGGAAAATTACGGCGGAGCATAAATCGTGGAGGCGGAAGGCGCGGACTGCCTTATTGGTAACGTGTTTCCGGGGGGAAGGGGGGGGGCTGGAGCGACGTCGTATCGCGTGTACTGGAGGAGGAAATGGTCGGGCTGGCGATACGCCGAGTGGCCGCAGCAGGTATATTTCAGCCCCTTGCGAAATTGAAATTTCCTCTCGGCGCGAAAGTTGTCGCGCGCGACCCCCTCCTTGCTCGTTAGTCGTAACGAGAACTAACAGGGCATTAGGCGCTCGGGGGAGAAAGTGGTTCGTGGTTTTTTTTTCTCCCTCCCTTAATGCTAAAATCCAACGACTGCGACAAAAGCTGTGCGTGTTTGCTCGCCTGTCATGAGGCGAGAGGGGGAGGAATCTCGGGAGGAGAATCTAGGGGACTGCAAATTGAAAACGAAGCTCCTCGAGCCCCAGTTACCACCACCCCGAGTCAAGGCGCTTAGGTATCGAGATGAGTTTTGCTCGACTCGAGCGCGCTTTGCTCGTCGTTGCACGTACACACACCTAACATACGTTGCATTGTGTACATCCCCGCTTTTGAGAAGAGCTGATTGTACCTCGAAGAGTCCCCCGAGGAAATCGTGTTGGCTCTGATAGAGTTCGATTTCAATTCAATCGCGCGTAGTTTCTTTTTTTTTTTTTTTTTAATGTTTACTCTCGAAAATACAGCAGCAATAATCATTACTGAAATTTTTTATGAAAAAAAAAAAAAAAAACCACCAAATAACGCTCTGAAAATATTTCCTCGTAAAACTCATGATTTGTTATTATTTTCAGCGACAGCGGCGTGGTTGAGGCAAGAGCAGCCCTGTCCGATCACAGGCGACTTTTGCATGAACGGTGGTACCTGCCTCTTTTTCGAGACGGTCGGGGAGCCAGCCTGCAGGTAAGATCCATCGACCCCCTTCAACATGTTTTTTTTTTTTCTTTTCTTTTTTTCACTTTAAATTGTTAAAATTTTCACTCGCCAACGAGGAGTTGAGCTTTAACTTTCTCAAACGAGGATACACTGCCCTCAATGGGTAATTATTCCTCGATTAATCAATGCATCCTCGATTTTTACATTCGTTTAACGAGCTAGGGGTGAGGGAGAAAAAACCACACCCATTTTTCCACCCCCCTCTTCTGCATCCCTCTTCTGTTCAGCCGAAAGCCATTACAAAGCCAATTAAACTCTCGTGTTCTCAAAAACTTCGCAGAGCCAATTTCAACTCGGGCTAAGCTGCACTGCTACTCTTGCCCCGTATATATACATTTGCGCGCAACCTCCTCCCTCTCTCCCTCGCTTTTAACGTTTTTCGCCGAAGTGGCGCTTATTCTATATAACGTCTGTTCGTTCGAATTACTCGGCAAACACGGAAGACGCTGCGCAGCAGCCGGCACAAAAAGAGAAAAAAAAGAGCGGGAGCCATTCGAGAGTCTCCTTCTTTTTTTTCTTCCTTCCGGCAGGAGAAGAAGAAGAAAAAAAAAAAAAAAAAAAAAAAAAAAAAAAAAAAAAAAAAAAAAAAAAAAAAANTGCGTTTTACAGAGGTACAAGTTAATGTGGGTTGAGGAGGTACAAAAAAAAAAAGAAATGGCCTGCCGAACGGAACATTGACCGTTTTCATCTCCAACCCGCTCCGAGAGTTAGTCCGCAGTTCCAGATATTGACTCCGGGAGGGGGAGCCTGCAGGAGCGCTCTCGCTATTTTTATTTACTGCCGCGCCTCGCGAGTTTTTCCGGCACCCCCGAGCTGCTCGGGGGAGGACTCTTATTCGGGGGTTCGTGCTTTTCCGGGGATTTTCTCATTTCGGACCTGGCTGTCTGGGTGCGACCCCCCTATCCTTACCTTCTCCTCCTCTTCTTCCTCTTTCTCTGGTTGTACACGATTTCTTGAATATTTCAGAAAAAAAACCTCTCTCGGGTGGTGTTATTTGTTAACTAATGTAGGATTTGGTTTCTCATTCTGTAAATTCACAAATTCAATCAAGTACTACAAATTACCATTTGTCAGTCCCATAAGTTCACGTAATTAAATACACGTGAGAAATTGTTATTGTCCTATTGTTTACTATCTCAGTTACTTCCTACGATAAAATTGAATAAAATACCGACCTGATTTTGATGAATCATATATTAACAGATTTAAAAATAATATAGCATCCACCAAAGACCTCTTTCACCAACGATCAGTACAAACGTACATTGTTTTAACCAAAAGTGTTTGTTCAAACAAAAGGCCCAACGACACAAGCGCCGTGACAGCGAGTTACAAAAATTCCAACGGTATCCGAAAACCGCGGAGAGGTGGCGTGTACACATGAATTTCAATGTTTTTCCTGGCACCACGCGTATTCAGATTCGCGAAAGACACCAGCAGCGCTCTCGCATGCAATTATTTTGACATCGTTGTTTGCAAATCTATTTAATTTCTGGGATACGCCGCACGAGCCTGACGTTTAATCAATTTGCGTCAAAGTCACACATTACCATTAACAAAAGTGACCATAAGTAGAGAGGTGGGGCATGAGGATCATGCATATAATATGTGAGTGCAAAGAATCGCGAGAAAAAAAAGGCCAAAGTTCGCTTTTTGCGTACACCCTACGCCTACCCATCCTCGAGCAGTGTATAAGCTTCTTCCTTGACTCTTCCAACAAGGAATAACTCGCTAAGGGGGGCTCTTTAGCTACCGTACGCCAAGTACACACAGCCAAATTAGCTCGTAGGTGGATGCTAAAAAGGCCTACAAGATCCTCGTCCGACGAACAACACGGACGAGGGTCAAGGCGCGCAGTCAAAGAAGGGCAGCTACCTTGCCATACAGTCGAACCGTTCATTGTTGGCTCGCACGTGTGCGGATACTATCTCTTGGTCCAAGCACACGGCCTACCATGTGTGTGTCTATGCGATGTATCTAGTTGAAATTTCGCTCAGCAGCTTATTCAATTTATGACCTCACGTTAATGAACCTCTTCCTGCACTGCGGCGGCCTTACCGCTGGACGAAAGGGGTGCTCTTGCGGTTGTATGCTGTTTCGGGGCTTTTGGAAAGTGCGCTCGTTGTGTTGGAGCAAGATGTAGGGTGGTTTAGTTTTTTTTTTTTTTTTTTTTTTTTTTTATGACTAGAATAAAATTTTTCAGCTCAAACGTAAGTAATGATGTTTTAAAAGGTTCTACTCACTTTGTAAGGGTCGGTGCGTGGAATAGATATGTGTAGAAGAACACAAACTAATGTTTATTTTATTGATGTACGTATTAAAAAACAATGGAGTCGACTGAAGCAGTGAAAATTGTCAGTTGTACAACGATAAATGACGAATTATAAATTTTCAGTAGTAAAGACCGAGTTTGGTCAGACATTGGTCGAATCGGACAGACATGCTCACCTTGCGTCAAATAAACGCGTAAATTGTATTTATCGACTCTATTTACGAATAGAGTGTGTGGATAGATTCGCCACGAAGCTTATAAAACTGGAGAATTCCAAGAGAGCGACGAAACTGAGTAACGACGAGCCAAAACCTCAATCCCCAATCGGCGTCATTAGCAAACAATCATCTCGATAATGCAGAGCCAAGACTCCAAATGAAGATCGAGTACAGGTATACACGTAACAACGACCAACAGAGGGAAAAAAAAAAAAAAAAAAAAAAACAGACGAGACATCCCGACCCAACGAACCCACCCACCCAGTGACAAAAGACCGGGAACGACGACCGTCGTTATTTTCGCGATACGTCAGTGCGGCATCGGCTACGGCCGATCTGGCCCGGCTATCCTCTCAATTAGTCTCCTTCCCGGTGAGAAAAGATAAATGGACGAGCCGGCTCACCCGAACTCGATCACGCACGTACGCGCGCGGTCTCCATGGAGGGCACCCCCGACGAAGGTTCATCCGTGCGCGAAGAGTCCTCCACCCTATCTATGATTGGACACGCGACGAGTTTACCAATACACCGACAGCGGAAGGACGGTTATATAAAAGTATACACTGGCATGGAGCCACAAGGATGCGACGTTCGGCCCATTGCGCGCTGATACCGAGGTATCGAATAATAAAGTCCAGGTGACGCCCACCGCGGCCGGCGTATATATACAATGTGCACAAGACGGCGACTCCGGACGTGCAGCTGGCGCGACGTGCCGCAATATCTCGCTCCCAAGTGGGATGTGTTTGCCTATGATTTCTCTCGCGTGTTTTGGTGCAGGTGGTGCCGTCCACCGGCCAGAGCGTTTCGGCGACGGGTTGATGGCGTAATTAAAACCCGCTGCTCTCGAGCGGTCGGTCCTCTTTGCTGTGCTCCCACGCTATGCATCACACCGGAGTTATTTTGGTTCCTCGGGTTTCCGTTCCAAAATTAATTGCATTGTCGATTCGCCCGAAACCACTGGGCCTCGTTAGACCCTCCCGCGTGCACACCACTCCTCGTTAACGCACAATCTCCGCGGGCCATCATGCCCGTGTTTAACCTTTCGTTACCCCATTTTACAGTGCTTTTTGCGGGCAGGCAAATATTTGAGGGTTAAACGAAGAAAGAGCCGCTCGTGCCGTGAAAAATATAAAGGCAGAGAGCGGGAAATTAGAAAGCTCGGTGCTCGGGCGAGGGAAAAAAGAGCAGAGGCCACGTGCCAATCACCTCTCGCAACCACAGTGAAAATCGATCCTTTAACCCACAGCTGGAAAGTTTTGTACGCTGTGTACATCTTTGTCACGCCGCGATGGCAGGAGAAATTTTACCCCGAGATTCGCGAGCAATTTTCCCGCTGCGTATCGTCCGTCTGTCGGCGTTCCCCCCCCCCCCCTCATCTATCTTGTACTCCTTCCTTCTCTCCGAGCATCCTGACAAACTCAAGTTCCACTCGATGCAAACCTTTCGTCCAACTTCCGTAACAGCTCCCAAAGTACTCGATACCCTTTGCACTGTTCTCGAACGCGGAGCGGCAGAACTTTTATGAATTTCCGAGTTGCGCAATTATGCGCCTGACTGTGTTTGCACCGATGCTATATGTACATGCGCTGTGAAACTGCGAAGCAGTATGTCGGGGTAAAAAGGCACTCGGGGCAAACCACCCGGTTATCAAAGTATCGACAAACCCGTAACAAAACAATAATGCACAGTGGGTATAGGTAACAAAATTATCCTCGCGCTAGTCAATAACAATCGTACAGCAAAAATACGCACGACAATGACAGTGCCAGCTCAGATATGGATCGCCGCGTCGGATCTTCCAAATGGTTTTCCACGCAGTCGCGTTGCACGCCGAAGTAATAAAGATTTTTCCCCTTCGATTGCTTCCGTGCAATTTGAGTTCCGCTTTCGCGTTTCTGAAATATCGGCGGGGGGGGGGAGAAGAAACGCGCACGGAACGCGCATAATGTTACAAGCTCGTGGGAGGGCCGTGCATGCAAATGCCCGAGCGTGAAACACGCGCTTATTCCCTCGATTTTCCAGAACACATCCGGATGGAATTTTAATAAGTAGGTATATCCATCCCCCGTATTTTTTTGCGAAAAGCCATGGGGCGTTCAACATTGATTTCCCAGCGAATCAAACGCTCTCTGGAGTGACGTCGATCTTCGAAAACCAATATTTTGCTTTTCACAGCCACGCGTGTCGAGTTATCGGGTAAAATTTTCGAAAAGCTTTTCAAGAGCCGCAATGCACTTTCCAACAAACTTGTCTGATGGTTTTTTTTTTTTTTTTTTTTTTTTTTCAAAAATGGACTCTGTGGGCGGTATTTCCATCTCGAGTCGCTCGTAACCAGCTCCTCCGGAAGTCGCGAGTCTTTTGTCCCCTCCTCCAGTATTATATTCGAGCTTCGAGCACAAAAAAAATTTTACGTGTCACGTGAAAGCTCTCATTACAGTCCCAAGAAGCGGCATTACTCTTCCCACCCCTTTAAA